TTTGGAAGAAAATGTAGTAACATTTGCTCTTTTTATAGGATATAAATTTGTTTTATGCACGATAATGCACGCTGCCGTACTGCGGCCGTAGATATCAAATAACTTCGAGACGTTGAAATCAATATTACGAGGTGACCAGTGCATATGCACGTATTAAAACCAATGGAGCATGTATGTGTTATGCTTGGAAGACAGATCAAGACAAGAAATCCTGCCTCCGCTTAATTGAAGTATCTTAAAAACACATTACAGAACGAACGGAATACAATCTCTCAAGATTTTATTGATAACTTGATTAGGACTATGCGGAAGAGACTGGATGCAGTTTCGTGAGCTAGAGGGAGCAACACTTAGTACTGATTATAACCCAAGTTATAACCATTCCTAAGCATGTATGAAAAAATAGGTGGTACAAAAATGTTTCGTTCCTGCAAAATTTGTCATTTATTAATTTAGTTAACTTTTGTTATTGCATCGTTTATTTTTCCGACGTTTGCAATTTCAAACTAACGAATAATAATCAGAGTCCAAATTATTAATAATAATAATAATAATAATAATAATTTATTTTATTTTGATAAAATGTACAAATTATTCCAATAAGTCTTAACTTAAAAATAGTCTACAATAACAGGCACCTGAACTAGGATAAACCTGTATCTCAGGTGTATGTGCTAAAAGATACATTAACAAATATTTTCTGTTTCTTATATAAAATGAATAACGTACTAACTAATAAGGGTTATTTGGGTAAAATACATTATCATTAATTTACTTATGATATTAATTAACTTAAAACAATCAACAACTTCTCCGTATCATCGTATGACAAGTTTTGTAACCATGTTCGAATTACCTTTTTTACAGTCTGCCATTTTTAATGGATATATATACAAAATTGCATTGACTTGATTATACAAAAAAAGGGCCGAGAAATGTAAAAAATCTATGCATGAAATAATGCCTTATTCTAATGTTAGTTTCAATTACTTTATCTTTGCGCCTTTTATCAGTGACCTCTCTTCTATAAGGCAATCTTAAGTGCTGTTTTAGTAACATGCTCATAACAAATAACTGGCGCACTGAGAGGACATTATAGGATTTGTATAAGAGATGGGATGGAAATAGAATAGGGCGGAATGTTGCAACTTTTAATACAGCTCTTTGAGCGCGTTCCAGTGGTAGTAGTGTAGTTTTAGCTGCTCCACCCCAAGAGGTTATACAATAGGTGAGTATTGACTGACATAATGCGTAATATACTTGTTTTACTACCTTATTATCAGCCAAAGAACGAATTTTTTTAAAAACAAACATTAGTTTACGAACTCTATTGCATAGGTGGTTTATGTGGTTTTTAAATGTAAACGTAGAATCTATAATTATTCCAAGGTACTTAACAGTTTTTGTATTAGAAATAACTGGGCAGTAACATTTAGACTCTGTGACTGAGTAACATTGATGTGCATAAAGTTCTGGAATGGTATATGCTGGGTTGAGCTGCGCATAGAAAAATGAATATATTTGGTTTTGTCCGTATTCAGTGTTAATATGTTTTGTTGGAGCCATTTATTAACTCTATCAAAACCTTACTGAGCATATGAATAAACCTTGTCAACTGTATTTGCGGAAAAAAAGTAGCACGGTATCATCTGCATAAGATATTATTTTACCTGAGTTAAGTTTAAGATTGCAAAGGTCATTTATATAAATCAAAAATAGGGTTGGCCCTAATACACTTCCTTGAGGCACGCCAAAATGAGTACTTTTTTGTTCAGAGCTAACAACCTTATCGATTTTTATGCATTGATATCGATTTTCTAAATAATTCTTAAAAAGTTGAAGCTGCTTACCTCGAATACCTATGCTCTCTAACTTATTTAATAGGATAGGAATAGAAACCGTATCAAATGCTTTTGCAAGGTCAAGGAAAATGCCAATTGATTGGTTGCCTTTATCTAATTCTTGAGAGACGTAATCGGTCATTTCCTGCACAGCATCAGCAGTGGACATTTTAGGCCTGAAACTATATTGCATATTCGATAATATGGATTTACTTTGTAAATAATTCATTAATCTGTTGTTAATTAATTTTTCTAATATTTTAGACGTGGATGAGAGTATTGAGATAGGCCGATAATTGGAAACGTTTTTTTTGTCCCCCCGATTTGAATACTGGAACTACAATTGCTTTTTTTAAACAATAAAATATTAAACTTAATTGCCTCAAATATGCATGATTTTATTTATACACACTTTTTGCGTTCCTTTTAATTATGTGGAATACGTGGTAGAGCAAAACTACAGCTATATTAATATCATTGTAGCATGAGTTGGCTCAACCGTCGGGTGGATCGTATGCTCTTTTGTCACCCTTATTCTTTATTGTATATAAAAATAATCCATGAGTATATATTATAGATATTTACTGTTAACTGTATTAAAACTATTCTTAGCTACTTATAAAAGATGACCTTTTGAGATTAACCGTATTTTATACGCATTATAATTTGTAAAACGCTATTCGACTGAAGTTGTGACAGTTATGTCCTCGGACTTACATCGACTGTAATGAATAATGCATGTGTAATTCACTAGTAATTAAATGTATGCAACTTAGCAACGAAAACATAAAATGATTCAATCTTTTTTTGTCCTCGGCGCAGCCCAATTATATTTGGTTCATACATGGATGTTCTTATCTTTGTCGAACCGTTTTGTATATCGGCGATTATAGGCTATTATAGAAAAAACACCTTTCTAACAGTGGTTTACGTTAAGAATTTAAGGAGACAGAGTATTTATAAAATTTTTATTTTTACTGGTGGCATAAGAGAATCCACTACGTCATATCCCGCGGTTTTTTTAAGGAATGATACTGGAAAACTGAAACAGGAGACGGGTAGCAGCATCTTACTGAAAACACATGAAATCTACGGGATAGGCATATGTTCAAAAGTGGATTATAATGAAGCTTTTATGTTAATATAAATAACATAATTATCATCAATTACATAGATTTTTTGTTTATACTTTCGTGTGTAATATTCAGATAAGCGAAGGTAAGTAGAGTCAAAGGTAGGAGACATGTACTGTACTACGATCGCTGATCTGCCTGCCAAGCGTGGACACTTTGGCTAATCCTGCCTACAATGGAAGAAAGCCTGAGCCCAGCTGGGACTATTAAGATAAATAAGAAGAAATAGTCATATTTAAAGGTTTTGTGAATCAAATCATATTCATATGCAAATTATTTATTTAAGGCCCCTAAATGTTAGTTTCGTTTATTTTCATTCCTAGCACGATGTAGCATGCTCGGTAATTGACATCTTTGACTTACGACAAAACAAATTGTAAAAGAAAAGCCCACTGGGCCGAATTATTTTTAATTTATTTATATATATTATATTATATAACACTGTCGTATAAAATTTAATATAGTTTAGAGAACTTATGACTCTGCAACCCCGGTCATGTCTTTTTTAAAGATTAATAAATGCGGTGTCATATTTCAACATAAACTGAATTTAATTTCCACAAATTTTAGTATAAATTTATCAATAGATAAAAAATTCGGCAAATAATATAATAATAATTTTAGAATTAAATGTTAGTTACGAGTAATAAGTATTTAATCCATTTGTGAATTACTTTTAATGTCTTAAGAATTGTTAATTCGTTACTACTTCCGGTTTCTAATGTATATTATGTTATGTATATTGCAATAAATGTATTAAAATGGTCTAAAAACAATTATTTGGATTTTAAAAACGAATTTCATATTTTTGAATGTCTTTAAGTAAGACTTTAGTTGCTTTATCTTATTACTTGTATGCGTTAAACCTATAACACTTGTTTTCTGAAATATATTTATACTGCAAATTTAATGTAAAAAACTGTAAAAAATGTTTTTATAATAATTTTTATGATTTTATTTAGTTAAATATGTTTATAATTTGATTTCAGATACTTAGATGTGTTAAGAGTTGTTCAATTGTAAAAAATAAAAGCGACATTGGAGGTAATCTTACAAATACTCCGAATTCAAAGAAATTCGGTTCAGTACTTGGTTATTCTTCATAGTAGCAAGTTAAATATATTTTCATTATGTCTTGCTTATTTTTGCTTATTGTGTCTTTTGGTTAAAATATGTGTGAAGATATTTTCTATAAATGTATATCGGCGCAACAAAGTATAAGTGACGTATCGGCGATTAACTTAAACAATTATTATTGAGTTAAAAATAAATAGAAGTTATTTCGGCTCCTAAAATAACGTTATAACCTGATTTTTTTATATGTGTCTTTATTTTTATAATTAGTTGATTATTGTTACTAGATAATTAATTTAAAATGCTTTAATTCAAAATATAATTAAATGCGGGGTATCGCTATAACAATTTGAGGGTAATCATTATCAAAGCACATGAAGTGAAGATCGCTTGCGCACATTCGCATTCGGTTTAAAAGGCGCGTGATTGCTGGGGCAGGGTTCATTCTTGCTCGAGCTGTCGTGCTATTCGGACTGTAGGTTGAATTTGTGAACTGTAAATTGTGAACAATAGTGAATAATTATTAAATTGTTAATTGTGAACAAATTCGCGGAATTTTTAAATTGTGAAATTAGTGAATAATTGTTAATTGTGAGTCATTATTAGTTGTAAATAGTAACATCAGTTAAGAGTAAATAAGTTATTCCTATTATTAAAGAAAGCAATAATAACTTCATCAATGATGACGTCATAGTTTCAAAAAATACTTCTTGTGTTAATATTCCGTCATATATTATTTTAAATTAGCTAAATTCCTTTCAAAATTTGTCCCTTGTTACGAGAATGATTTTAACAGCTCCTTTTAGCTTAATAGAATTTAAGTTTATTTCTGAACCAATATTTTCTCCCAGTTATTTGTTTAATTTTCCATGAAAATAGCATCGGAAGTGGGATCGCCCGTGCTCTTTGTTAATAGTTTTCTTTTAAATATTACAGTGCAAACTACTTCAATATGGATGTGGAGTTTGTGAAAGGGCTGTGGGAAACCATCCAAAATGCAATGGTTTCAAATAAGCGGTGTAACGACGTAGCGGTGCCAATTTTTGATCCGGAAAAAAGCAACGACGGAACAGGTGTCTGGTGCGAAAGCTTCGATAAATTAGAAGAGTTTAAATGGAGCAGCTTTGAGAAGATTGCAAAAGCCGGTAAGGCCCTTCGGGGCTCTGCATTATCCTGGTTTGAAACGTGGGAGCCTGAGACAGTAATCCTAAGAAGAATTCAAAAAAGATTACGTCCGTTTACCCGCAAAATAAAATATTTTCTGAGAAACTGTTAAACTCTCTGTTACGCACGTCGGATTCGACAGATTCTTTCGATGGTTATGCTAGGTACAAATTAAAACTATTAAAATCTACTAAAATATGTTTTACTAAGGGGCAACAATTAGTGCTTGTTTGCAGTGGAATTAGTGATGTAAATTTAACACAAAAGTGCTAAAAGCGTCATAGTGAAATCTGTAGTCACCATGCAAATGGTGTGCTACGCATTATTACTTAGCTGGCGCCCACTAGAAAAAGTATCCCATGGATGCCAATCTACGCAATAGTACGTATTCGTAATATTGCGTAGTCCGGCAACAATTACAACCCTTTCATCACAATATGATGCCTGTCTTCGCAATATTACGTATTCGTAAAATTGCGTAGCTTGGCATCTCGGTTACTTATTTTTGTCTTGCTTACCTGCATTGCTAGGTGAAACCATCCCCGCTGTCTATGTACCTCCGTTGAAAATAGATTATTGCGTCACTTTAGTATCGCGCCACCCACGCAGTAAGAGTGACATTGAAATAGGCGATTTATTGAAATGCCACGTGGACACAGTGAAACTCGTCGTATTCTACGCGGTCGCCGCGGTCGTTCTGATGATCGCTCTTTAAGATCATCAGAACGACCGCCTATAAATGAAAGCCAGCTTGCTAGAGTATTAGAAAAAGAATCTTCAGATGACTGGGATTTTTCATCAGGAACGGGTGACAACTACGTTCCGTACGTAGTCACCTTCTACTTCCTCGCCCTGCCGTACGTGCTTAGTTTTTATTTATAAATTTTTATTATATAGAATCATGCGTTACTTTGCGGAAATTCCTAACAATAAAGACATTAATATCTTATTCGCAACCATAAGTTTAATTAAACACAATGATGTATCTTACCTGGATTGAAAAGAAAGAGATTTCCTGGAACAGTGGTGTTGGGAGTATTGGTGCCGGGAGTAGTGGTGTTGGGGGTAGTGGTACTGGGACTAGTGGTGACGGGATTATTGCACGCAATTGAGGGAGGACGAGAGGTGCTCTTTAATCCAGTTTAAACACATCATTGTGATTAATGAAGCACTTGGTTGCGACTTGGATATTAATGTCTTTATTATAATAAATTACCGCAAGTAACGCCTGATTCTATCAATAAATTTATAAAATAAAAACTAAGCACGTCCGGCAGGGAGAAGTAGGGGTGACTCTACAACTCCTCCCTTTCTCCCCACACCACCTCTCACCCTCTAGCTAAGGCCACTTAATTGTAAACCTTACCCGATTTTTGCTCAGGGGGGAAGTAATTTAAGAGAAACTACTGTGGCTAAAGAAAAACTTAGGTTGTGGCTGCGAGAAAGGTTAGAACAAAATATTGAATCAGAAAATTTAATTTAAAATATTACCTGATAAAAATGCATTTATTTGTAAAATATTTCTAGATTTAAAAAATTATTATGTACATTCTAAGAGAATATCTAATATAATATTGAATCAGAAAATTTAATTTAAAATATTACGTAATAAAATATTCATTTATTGGTAAAATATTTCTATATTTAAAAAAAAATATATATATTATATACATTCTTTTATTTATGAATATGTTCAGGAAAAAAAGATTAAAAGAAAACTTTTATTCCGCATATAATATCATTTATGTATCTACTTATATATAGTTTGGTACTTATTCAATTATATATGACTTTCTATATGATCAAAGTCTGACTGAAAATGCTGAGCTGACTCGACTCTCTTTATTTCTATCTTCATCTATGTATAATTGATAATATACATAGATGAAGATAGAAATCGTCACGACCACGGAGTTGTCAAATATAATTTGAAGACTCCGTGGCGCAGTGGCTTAGCAATGAGTGGCCGCGCTGGGGGTCGCGGGTACGAATCCCGCACAGAACAAGTACTTGTGTGGCCTACAAACAATTGTTCAGAAAGAAAGAATTGTTAGTTCATTACTACGTCCGGTTTCTAATGTATGTTTTGTTATGTTATGTTATGTATATTGTAATAAATGTATTAAAATGGCCTGAAAATGTTTATTTGGATTTTAAAAATATATTTCATATTTTTGAATGTGTTTAAGTAACATTTAAGTTTGGATGCTTGGCGGTCCACCACAGTACGTTTCAAAAGGAGTTTTCTTCCGCGTACAACCTCTCTGTGGAATAGTTTACCACCGGCGATTTTTCCGGACCGATACGACCTGGGGACCTTCGCGAAAAGAGCTTACTCCTTTCTAAAGGGCCGGCAACGCACCTGCAATTCCCCGGGTGTTGCAGTTGATCATAGGCGGCGGTAGTCACTTAACATCAGGTGAGCCGCATGCTCGTTGGCCCCCCTTTTCTATAAATTAAAAAAAAATAAAATAATAGTTGCTTTATCTTATTACTTGTATGCGTTGAACCGTTTTGGGCCGCGTGTTTTCTGAAATATATTTATACTGCAGATTTAATGTTTAAAAACTGTGAATATGGTTTTTATAATGTTTTTTTTATGATTTTATTTAATATTCAATAATGTTTATAATTTGATTGTAGATATTTAGGTGTGCTGAGTGTTGTTCAGTTGTAAAAAATAAAAGCGTCATTCAGGGTAACCTTAGAAATACTCCGAATTCAAAAAAATTCGTTTGAGTACTTGGTTATTCTTCACATTAGCAAGTTAAGTATATTTCCACTATGTCTTGCTTATTTTTGCTTATTGTTTTTGGTCAAAATATGTGTGAAGATATTTTCTGTAAATATATTAACTTAAATTGGCTAAATTTCTTTCATAATTTGTTCCTTATTATGAGGAAGATTTAAACAGCTCTTTGCTTTATAGGACAGTTTAAGTTTATCTATTTCTAAACCAATATTTTTCCTAGTTCTTTGTTTAATTTTCCATGAAAATAGTATTATAAGTGGGATCGCCCATGCATTTTGTTAATAGTTTTCTTTTATATTACAGCATATTTCAATATGGATGCGGAGTTGGTGAAAGGGCTTTTGGAAACCATCCGAAATGAAATGGTTTAAAATAAGCGGCACGACGACGTAGCGGTGCCAATTATTGATCCGGACAAAAGCAACTACGGAGCAGCTGCCTGGTGCGAAAGCTTCGATAAATTAGAAGAGTTTAAATGGAGCAGCTTTGAGAAGATTGCAAAAGCCGGTAAGGCCCTTCGGGGGCTCTGCATTATCCTGGTGTGAAACGGGAGCCTGAGACAGTAATCCTGAGAAGAATTCAAAAAAGATATTATGTCTGTTTACCCGCAAAATAAAAATCTTATTGAGAAACTGTTAAATGCTCTGTTAAACACGTCGGATTGGATAGATTCTTTCGATGGTTATGCTAGGTAGAAATTAAAACTATTAAAATCGTGTTTTACTAAGGGCAACAAATAGAGCTTGTTTGCGGTGGAATTAGTGATGTAAATTTAACACATTAAGTGCTAAAAGCGTCATAGTGAAGTCTGTAGTCACCATACAAATGGTGTGCTACGCATTATTACTTAGCTGGCACCCACTAGAAAAAGTATCCCATGGATGCCAATCTACGCAATGGTACGTATTCGTAATATTGCGTAGTCCGGCACCAATTACAACCCTTTCATCACAATATAATGCCTGTCTACGCAATATTACGTATTCGTAAAGTTGCGTAGCTTGGCATCTCGGTTACTTATTTTCGTCCTGCTTACCTGCATTTCTTGGTGAAACCATCCCCGCTGTCTATGCGCCTCCGTTGACCAATAGATTATTGCGTCACTTTAGTATCGCGCCACCCACGCAGTGAGAGTGACATTGAAATAGGTGATTTATTGAAATGACACGCGGACGCAGTGAAATTCGTCGTATTCTGCGCGATCGCCGCGGTCGTTCTGTTGATCGCTCTTTAAGATCATCAGAACGACCGCCTATAAATGAAAGCCAGCTTGCTAGAGTATTAGAAGAAGAATCTTCAGATGACGGGGATTTTTCATCAGAAACGGGTGACAACTACGTTCCGTACGTAGTCACCTTCTACTTCCTCGCCCTGCCGTACGTGCTTAGTTTTTATTTATAAATTTTTATTATATAGAATAATGCGTTACTTTGCGGAAATTCCTTACAATTAAGACATTAATACCTAACTCGAAACCATCCGTTTAAACACAATGATGTGTCTTACCTGGATTGAAGAGCAAGAGATTTTGAGAGTTGGGAGTAGTGGTGCCGGGAGTAGTGGTGCCGGGAGTAGTGGTGCCGGGAAGTAGTGGTGCCGGGAGTAGTGGTGCCGGGAGTAGTGGTGCCGGGAGTAGTGGTGCCGGGGAGATGGGAGTAGTGGTATTGGGAGTAGTGGTGTTGAGACTAGTGGTAACTGTTTTAGTGCACGCAATTGAGGGAGGGCGAGAGTTGCTCTTTAATCCAGGTAAGACACGTCATTATGTTTAATTGAGCGGATGGGTGCGAATAGATATATGTCTTTATTATAATGAATTTCCGCAAAGTAATGGCCGATTCTATCAAAAAATTTATGAAATAAAAACTAAGCACGTCTGGCGGGGAGAAGTGGGGGTGACTCTACAACTCCTCCCTTTCTCCTCCTTCTCTTCTTTCGATGGTTATGCTAGGATAAAGATAGAAATCGTCACGACCACAGAGTTGTCAAATATAATTTGAAGTCCGTGGCGCAGTGGTTTAGCAATGAGTGGGCGCGCTGGGGGTCGCGGGTTCGAATCCCGCAAAGAACAAGTATTTGTATGGCCTACAAACAATTGTTCCGAAAGAAAGAATTGTTAGTTCATTACTACGTCCGGTTTCTAATGTATGTTATGTTATGTTATGTGTTGTTATGTATATTGTAATAAATGTATTAAAATGGCCTGAAAATGTTTAAGTAACATTTAAGTTTGGATGCTTGGCGGTCCACCACAGTACGTTTCAAAAGGAGTTTTCTTCCGCGTACAACCTCTCTGTGGAATAGTTTACCACCGGCGATTTTTCCGGACCGATACGACCTGGGGACCTTCGCGAAAAGAGCTTACTCCTTTCTAAAGGGCCGGCAAGGCACCTGCAATTCCCCGGGTGTTGCAGTTGATCATGGGCGGCGGTAGTCACTTAACATCAGGTGAGCCGCATGCTCGTTGGCCCCCTCTTCTATAAATTAAAAAAAAATAAAATAATAGTTGCTTTATCTTATTACTTGTATGCGTTGAACCGTTTTGGGCCGCGTGTTTTCTGAAATATATTTATACTGCAGATTTAATGTTTAAAAACTGTGATAATGGTTTATATAATGTTTTAATGATTTTATTTAATATTCAATAATGTTTATGATTTGATTGTAGATATTTAGATGTGCTGAGTGTTGTTCAGTTGTAAAAAATAAAAGCGTCATTGAAGGTAACCTTAGAAATACTCCGAATTCAAAAAAATTCGTTTGAGTACTTGGTTATTCTTCACATTAGCAAGTTAAGTATATTTCCACTATGTCTTGGTTATTTTTGCTTATTGTTTTTGGTCAAAATATGTTTGAAGATATTTTCTGTAAATATATTTACTTAAATTAGCTAAATTTCTTTCATAATTTGTTCCTTGATATGAGGAAGTTTTAATAGCTCTTTGCTTTATAGGACAATTTAAGTTTATCTGTTTCTAAACCAAAATTTTTCCTAGTTCTTTGTTTAATTTTCCATGAAAATAGCATTATAAGTGGGATCGCCCGTGCTTTTTTGTTAATAGTTTTCTTTTAAATTACAGCATATTTCAATATGGATGCGGAGTTGGTGAAAGGGCTTTTGGAAACCATCCGAAATGCAATGGTTTCAAATAAGCGGCACGACGACGTAGCGGTGCCAATTATTGATCCGGACAAAAGCAACTACGGAGCAGCTGCCTGGTGCGAAAGCTTCGATAAGTTAGTAGAAGAGTTTAAATGGAGCAGCTTTGAGAAGTTTACAAAAGCCGGTAAGTCCATTCGGGGCTCTGCATTATCCTGGTTTGAAACGTGGGAGTCTGAGACAGTTAATCATGAGAAGAATTCAAAAAAGATATTATGTCGGTTTACCCGCAAAATAAAAATTTTTGTGAGAAACTGTTAAACGTTAAATGTAATATACGTCGAATTCCGCAGATTCTTTCGATGGTTATGCTAGGTAGTAATTGAGACTATTAAAATCTACTGAAATGTTTTACTGAAGGCCAATAAATAGAGCTTGTTTGAAACTCGTCGTATTCTGCACGGTCGCTTTTCTTTGCGATCATCAGAACTACCGCCTTTAAAAGTCTGAATCAGAAGGTAGCGATATAACATCTCTATCTGAATAAGTAAGAAAAAGAAGTTGCCTGAACTAGGGGGTTGGGACGTGATGTGAGGGAGAGGCAGGAGTTGTAGTCACCCCGTACTTCCCTTTCCTGCCGTATGTGCTTATTTTTTATTTTATATTTTTTTTTGATAGAATCACGCGTCATTTTGCGGAAATTCCTTACAATAAAGACACTAATATCTTATTCGCAACCATAAGTTTAATTAAACACAATGATGAGTCTTACCTGGATTGAAAAGAAAGAGATTTCCTGGAACAGTGGTGTTGGGAGTAGTGGTGCCGGGAGTAGTGGTGTTGGGGATAATGGTACTGGGACTAGTGGTGACGGGATTATTGCACGCATTTGAGGGAAGACGAGAGGTGCTCTTTAATCTAGTTTAAACACATCATTGTGATTAAAGAAGCACTTGGTTGCGAATTAGATATTAATGTCTTTATTATAATAAATTTCCGCAAAGTAACGCCTGATTCTATCAATAAATTTATAAAATAAAAACTAAGCACGTCCGGCAGGGAGAAGTAGGGGTGACTCTACAACTCCTCCCTTTCTCCCCACACCACCTCTCACCCTCTAGCTAAGGCCACTTAATTGTAAACCTTACCCGATTTTTTGCTCAGGGGGAAGTAATTTAAGAGAAACTACTGTGGCTAAAGAAAAACTTAGGTTGTGGCTGCGAGAAAGGTTAGAACAAAATATTGAATCGGAAAATTTAATTTAAAATATTACGTAATAAAATATTCATTTATTGGTAAAATATTTCTAGATTTAAAAAAAATTTATATATATTATATACATTCTCTTACTTATGAATAAGTTCAGGAAAAAAAAGATTAAAAGAATACTTTTATTCCGCATATAATATCATTTATGTATCTACTTATAGATAGTTTGGTACTTATTCAATTATATATGACTTTCTATATGATCAAAGTCTGACTGAAAATGCTGAGCTGACTCGACTCTCTTTATTTCTATCTTCATCTATGTATAATTGATAATATACATAGATGAAGATAGAAATCGTCACAACCACGGAGTTGTCAAATATAATTTGAAGACTCCGTGGCGCAGTGGCTTAGCAATGAGTGGCCGCGCTGGGGGGTCGCGGGTACGAATCCCGCACAGAACAAGTATTTGTATGGCCTACAAACAATTGTTCAGAAAGAAAGAATTGTTAGTTCATTACTACGTCCGGTTTCTAACGTATGTTTTGTTATGTTATGTTATGTATATTGTAATAAATGTATTAAAATGGCCTGAAAATGTTTATTTGGATTTTAAAAATATATTTCATATTTTTGAATGTGTTTAAGTAACATTTAAGTTTGGATGCTTGGCGGTCCACCACAGTACGTTTCAAAAGGAGTTTTCTTCCGCGTACAACCTCTCTGTGGAATAGTTTACCACCGGCGATTTTTCCGGACCGATACGACCTGGGGACCTTCGCGAAAAGAGCTTACTCCTTTCTAAAGGGCCGGCAAGGCACCTGCAATTCCCCGGGTGCTGCAGTTGATCATGGGCGGCGGTAGTCACTTAACATCAGGTGAGCCGCATGCTCGTTGGCCCCCTCTTCTATAAATTAAAAAAAATAAAATAATAGTTGCTTTATCTTATTACTTGTATGCGTTGAACCGTTTTGGGCCGCGTGTTTTCTGAAATATATTTATACTGCAGATTTAATGTTCAAAAACTGTGAATATGGTTTTTATGTTTTTTTTTATGATTTTATTTAATATTCAATAATGTTTATAATTTGATTGTAGATATTTAGATGTGCTGAGTGTTGTTCAGTTGTAAAAAATAAAAGCGTCATTGAGGGTAACCTTAGAAATACTCCGAATTCAAAAAAATTCGTTTGAGTACTTGGTTATTCTTCACATTAGCAAGTTAAGTATATTTCCACTGTGTCTTGCTTATTTTTGCTTATTGTTTTTGGTCAAAATATGTGTGAAGATATTTTCTGTAAATATATTAACTTAAATTAGCTAAATTTCTTTCATAATTTGTTCCTTGTTATGAGGAAGATTTTAAAAGCTCTTTGCTTTATAGGACAATTTAAGTTTATCTATTTCTAAACCAAAATTTTTCCTAGTTCTTTGTTTAATTTTCCATGAAAGTAGCATTATAAGTGGGATCGCCCGTGCTTTTTGTTAATAGTTTTCTTTTAAATTACAGCATATTTCAATATGGATGCGGAGTTGGTGAAAGAGCTTTTGGAAACCATCCGAAATGCAATGGTTTCAAATAAGCGGCACGACGACGTAGCGGTGCCAATTATTGATCCGGACAAAAGCAACTACGGAGCAGCTGCCTGGTGCGAAAGCTTCGATAAGTTAGTAGAAGAGTTTAAATGGAGCAGCTTTGAGAAGTTTGCAAAAGCCGGTAAGGCCATTCGGGGCTCTGCAATATCCTGGTTTGAAACGTGGGAGTCTGAGACAGTTAATCATGAGAAGAATTCAAAAAAGATATTATGTCGGTTTACCCGCAAAATAAAAATTTTTGTGAGAAACTGTTAAACGTTGTGTAATATACGTCGAATTCCGCAGATTCTTTCGATGGTTATGCTAGGTAGTAATTGAGACTATTAAAATCTACTGAAATGTTTTACTGAAGGCCAATAAATAGAGCTTGTTTGAAACTCGTCGTATTCTGCGCGGTCGCTATTCTTTGCGATCATCAGAACGACCGCCTTTAAAAGTCTGAATCAGAAGGTAGCGATATAACATCTCTATCTGAATAAGTAAGAAAACGAAGTAAGTTGCCTGAACTAGGGGATTGGGACGTGATGTGAGGGAGAGGCAGGAGTTGTAGAGTCACCCCGTATTTCCCCTTCTTGCCGTATGTGCTTATTTTTTATTTTATATTTTTTTTTATAGAATCACGCGTTATTTTGCGGAAATTCCTTACAATAAAGACACTAATATCTTATTCGCAACCATAAGTTTAATTAAACACAATGATGTATCTTACCTGGATTGAAAAGAAAGAGATTTCCTGGAACAGTGGTGTTGGGAGTAGTGGTGCCGGGAGTAGTGGTGTTGGGGATAATGGTACTGGGACTAGTGGTGACGGGATTATTGCACGCATTTGAGGGAGGACGAGAGGTGCTCTTTAATCCAGTTTAAACACATCATTGTGATTAAAGAAGCACTTGGTTGCGACTTGGATATTAATGTCTTTATTATAATAAATTTCCGCAAAGTAACGCCTGATTCTATCAATAAATTTATAAAATAAAAACTAAGCACGTCCGGCAGGGAGAAGTAGGGGTGACTCTACAACTCCTCCCTTTCTCCCCACACCACCTCTCACCCTCTAGCTAAGGCCACTTAATTGTAAACCTTACCCGATTTTTGCTCAGGGGGAAGTAATTTAAGAGAAACTACTGTGGCTAAAGAAAAACTTAGGTTGTGGCTGCGAGAAAGGTTAGAACAAAATATTGAATCGATTGAAAATTTAATTTAAAATATTACGTAATAAAATATTCATTTATTGGTAAAATATTTCTAGATTTAAAAAAAAATTATATATATTATATACATTCTCTTACTTATGAATAAGTTCAGGAAAAAAAAGATTAAAAGAATACTTTTATTCCGCATATAATATCATTTATGTATCTACTTATATATAGTTTGGTACTTATTCAATTATATATGACTTTCTATATGATCAAAGTCTGACTGAAAATGCTGAGCTGACTCGACTCTATTTCTATCTTCATCTATGTATAATTGATAATATACATAGATGAAGATAGAAATCGTCACGACCACGGAGTTGTCAAATATAATTTGAAGACTCCGTGGCGCAGTGGCTTAGCAATGAGTGGCCGCGCTGGGGGTCGCGGGTACGAATCCCGCACAGAACAAGTATTTGTATGGCCTACAAACAATTGTTCAGAAAGAAAGAATTGTTAGTTCATTACTACGTCCGGTTTCTAACGTATGTTTTGTTATGTTATGTTATGTATATTGTAATAAATGTATTAAAATGGCCTGAAAATGTTTATTTGGATTTTAAAAATATATTTCATATTTTTGAATGTGTTTAAGTAACATTTAAGTTTGGATGCTTGGCGGTCCACCACAGTACGTTTCAAAAGGAGTTTTCTTCCGCGTACAACCTCTCTGTGGAATAGTTTACCACCGGCGATTTTTCCGGACCGATACGACCTGGGGACCTTCGCGAAAAGAGCTTACTCCTTTCTAAAGGGCCGGCAAGGCACCTGCAATTCCCCGGGTGCTGCAGTTGATCATAGGCGGCGGTAGTCACTTAACATCAGGTGAGCCGCATGCTCGTTGGCCCCATCTTCTATAAATTAAAAAAAATAAAATAATAGTTGCTTTATCTTATTACTTGTATGCGTTGAACCGTTTTGGGCCGCGTGTTTTCTGAAATATATTTATACTGCAGATTTAATGTTTAAAAACTGTGAATATGGTTTTTATAATGTTTTTTTTTATGATTTTATTTAATATTCAATAATGTTTATAATTTGATTGTAGATATTTAGATGTGCTGAGTGTTGTTCAGTTGTAAAAAATAAAAGCGTCATTGAGGGTAACCTTAGAAATACTCCGAATTCAAAAAAATTCGTTTGAGTACTTGGTTATTCTTCACATTAGCAAGTTAAGTATATTTCCACTGTGTCTTGCTTATTTTTGCTTATTGTTTTTGGTCAAAATATGTGTGAAGATATTTTCTGTAAATATATTAACTTAAATTAGCTAAATTTCTTTCATAATTTGTTCCTTGTTATGAGGAAGATTTTAAAAGCTCTTTGCTTTATAGGACAATTTAAGTTTATCTATTTCTAAACCAATATTTTTCCTAGTTCTTTGTTTAATTTTCCATGTAAATAGCATTATAAGTGGGATCGCCCGTGCTTTTTGTTAATAGTTTTCTTTTAAATTACAGCATATTTAAATATGGATGCGGAGTTGGTGATAGGGCTTTTGGAAACCATCCGAAATGCAATGGTTCCAAATAAGCGGCACGACGACGTAGCGGTGCCAATTATTGATCCGGACAAAAGCAACTACGGAGCAGCTGCCTGGTGTGAAAGCTTCGATAAGTTAGTAGAAGAGTTTAAATGGAGCAGCTTTGAGAAGTTTGCAAAAGCCGGTAAGTCCATTCGGGGCTCTGCATTATCCTGGTTTGAAACGTGGGAGTCTGAGACAGTTAATCATGAGAAGAATTCAAAAAAGATATTATGTCGGTTTACCCGCAAAATAAAAATTTTTGTGAGAAACTGTTAAACGTTGTGTAATATACGTCGAATTCCGCAGATTCTTTCGATGGTTATGCTAGGTAGTAATTGAGACTATTAAAATCTACTGAAATGTTTTACTGAAGGCCAATAAATAGAGCTTGTTTGAAACTCGTCGTATTCTGCGCGGTCGCTATTCTTTGCGATCATCAGAACGACCGCCTTTAAAATCTGAATCAGAAGGTAGCGTTATAACATCTCTATCTGAATAAGTAAGAAAAAGAAGTAAGTTGCCTGAACTAGGGGGTTGGGACGTGATGTGAGGGAGAGGCAGGAGTTCTAGAGTCACCCCGTACTTCCCCTTCCTGCCGTATGTGCTTATTTTTTATTTCATATTTTTTTTGATAGAATCACGCGTCATTTTGCGGAAATTCCTTACAATAAAGACATTAATATCTTATTCGCAACCATAAGTTTAATTAAACACAATGATGTATCTTACCTGGATTGAAAAGAAAGAGATTTCCTGGAACAGTGGTGTTGGGAGTATTGGTGCCGGGAGTAGTGGTGTTGGAGGTAGTGGTACTGGGACTAGTGGTGACGGGATTATTGCACGCAATTGAGGGAGGACGAGAGGTGCTCTTTAATCCAGTTTAAACACATCATTGTGATTAATGAAGCACTTGGTTGCGTCTTGGATATTAATGTCTTTATTATAATAAATTACCGCAAGTAACGCCTGATTCTATCAATAAATTTATAAAATAAAAACTAAGCACGTCCGGCAGGGAGAAGTAGGGGTGACTCTACAACTCCTCCCTTTCTCTCCACACCACCTCTCACCCTCTAGCTAAGGCCACTTAATTGTAAACCTTACCCGATTTTTGCTCAGGGGGAAGTAATTTAAGAGAAATTACTGTCGCTAAAGAAAGACTTAGGTTGTGGCTGCGAGAAAGGTTAGAACAAAATATTGAATCAGAAAATTTAATTTAAAATATTACCTGATAAAAAATTCATTTATTTGTAAATTATTTCTAGATTTAAAAAATTATTATGTACATTCTAAGAGAATATCTAATGTAATATTGAATCAGAAAATTTAATTTAAAATATTACGTAATAAAATATTCATTTATTGGTAAAATATTTCTAGATTTAAAAAAAATTTATATATATTATATACATTCTCTTACTTATGAATAAGTTCAGGAAAAAAAAAGATTAAAAGAATACTTTTATTCCGCATATAATATCATTTATGTATCTACTTATATATAGTTTGGTACTTATTCAATTATATATGACTTTCTATATGATCAAAGTCTGACTGAAAATGCTGATCTGACTCGACTCTCTTTATTTCTATCTTCATTTATGTATAATTGATAATATACATAGATGAAGATAGAAATCGTCACGACCACGGAGTTGTCAAATATAATTTGAAGACTCCGTGGCGCAGTGGCTTAGCAATGAGTGGCCGCGCTGGGGGTCGCGGGTACGAATCCCGCACAGAACAAGTATTTGTATGGCCTACAAACAATTGTTCAGAAAGAAAGAATTGTTAGTTCATTACTACGTCCGGTTTCGAATGTATGTTTTGTTATGTTATGTTATGTATATTGTAATAAATGTATTAAAATGGCCTGAAAATGTTTATTTGGATTTTAAAAATATATTTCATATTTTTGAATGTGTTTAAGTAACATTTAAGTTTGGATGCTTGGCGGTCCACCACAGTACGTTTCAAAAGGAGTTTTCTTCCGCGTACAACCTCTCTGTGGAATATTTTACCACCGGCGATTTTTCCGGACCGATACGACCTGGGGACCTTCGCGAAAAGAGCTTACTCCTTTCTAAAGGGCCGGCAAGGCACCTGCAATTCCCCGGGTGTTGCAGTTGATCATGGGCGGCGGTAGTCACTTAACATCAGGTGAGCCGCATGCTCGTTGGCCCCCTCTTCTATAAATTAAAAAAATAAAATAATAGTTGCTTTATCTTATTACTTATATGCGTTGAACCGTTTTGGGCCGCGTGTTTTCTGAAATATATTTATACTGCAGATTTAATGTTTAAAAACTGTGAATATGGTTTTTATAATGTTTTTTTTTATGATTTTATTTAATATTCAATAATGTTTATAATTTGATTGTAGATATTTAGATGTGCTGAGTGTTGTTCATTTGTAAAAAAATAAAAGCTTCGTTGAGGGTAACCTTAGAAATACTCCGAATTCAAAAAAAAATCGTTTGAGTACTTGGTTATTCTTCACATTAGCAAGTTAAGTATATTTCCACTATGTCTTGCTTATTTTTGCTTATTGTTTTTGGTCAAAATATGTGTGAAGATATTTTCTGTAAATATAATAACTTAAATTAGCTAAATTTCTTTCATAATTTGTTCCTTGTTTTGAGGAAGATTTTAACAGCTCTTTGCTTTATAGGACAATTTAAGTTTATCTATTTCTAAACCAATATTTTTCCTAGTTCTTTGTTTAATTTTCCATGAAAATAGCATTATAAGTGGGATCGTCCGTACTTTTTGTTAATAGTTTTCTTTTAAATTACAGCATATTTCAATATGGATGCGGAGTTGGTGAAAGGGCTTTTGGACACCATCCGAAATGCAATAGTTTCAAATAAGCGGCACGACGACGTAGCGGTGCCAATTATTGATCCGGACAAAAGCAACTACGGAGCAGCTGCCTGGTGTGAAAGCTTCGATAAGTTAGTAGAAGAGTTTAAATGGAGCAGCTTTGAGAAGTTTGCAAAAGCCGGTAAGTCCATTCGGGGCTCTGCATTATCCTGGTTTGAAACGTGGGAGTCTGAGACAGTTAATCATGAGAAGAATTCAAAAAAGATATTATGTCGGTTTACCCGCAAAATAAAAATTTTTGTGAGAAACTGTTAAACATTGTGTAATATACGTCGAATTCCGCAGATTCTTTCGATTGTTATGCTAGGTAGTAATTGAGACTATAAAAATCTACTGAAATGTTTTACTGAAGGCCAATAAATAGAGCTTGTTTGAAACTCGTCGTATTCTGCACGGTCGCTTTTCTTTGCGATCATCAGAACTACCGCCTTTAAAAGTCTGAATCAGAAGGTAGCGATATAACATCTCTATCTGAATAAGTAAGAAAAAGAAGTTGCCTGAACTAGGGGGTTGGGACGTGATGTGAGGGAGAGGCAGGAGTTGTAGTCACCCCGTACTTCCCTTTCCTGCCGTATGTGCTTATTTTTTATTTTATATTTTTTTTTTGATAGAATCACGCGTCATTTTGCGGAAATTCCTTACAATAAAGACACTAATATCTTATTCGCAACCATAAGTTTAATTAAACACAATGATGAGTCTTACCTGGATTGAAAAGAAAGAGATTTCCTGGAACAGTGGTGTTGGGAGTAGTGGTGCCGGGAGTAGTGGTGTTGGGGATAATGGTACTGGGACTAGTGGTGACGGGATTATTGCACGCATTTGAGGGAGGACGAGAGGTGCTCTTTAATCTAGTTTAAACACATCATTGTGATTAATGAAGCACTTGGTTGCGAATAAGATATTAATGTCTTTATTATAATAAATTTCCGCAAAATAACGCCTGATTCTATCAATAAATTTATAAAATAAAAACTAAGCACGTCCGGCAGGGAGAAGTAGGGGTGACTCTACAACTCCTCCCTTTCTCCCCACACCACCTCTCACCCTCTAGTTAAGGCCACTTAATTGTAAACCTTACCCGATTTTTGCTCAGGGGGAAGTAATTTAAGAGAAATTACTGTGGCTAAAGAAAAACTTGGGTTGTGGCTGCGAGAAAGGTTAGAACAAAATATTGAATCAGAAAATTTAATTTAAAATATTACCTGATAAAAAATGCATTTATTTGTAAATTATTTCTAGATTTAAAAAATTATTATGTACATTCTAAGAGAATATCTAATATAATGTTGAATCAGAAAATTTAATTTAAAATATTACGTAATAAAATATTCATTTATTGGTAAAATATTTCTAGATTTAAAAAAATTTATATATATTATATACATTCTCTTACTTATGAATAAGTTCAGGAAAAAAAAAGATTAAAAGAAATCCTTTTTTGCGCATATAATATCATTTATGTATCTACTTATATATAGTTTTGGTACTTATTCAATTATATATGACTTTCTATATGATCAAAGTCTGACTGAAAATGCTCATCTGACTCGACTCTCTTTATTTCTATCTTCATCTATGTATAATTGATAATATACATAGATGAAGATAGAAATCGTTACGACCACGGAGTTGTCAAATATAATTTGAAGACTCCGTGGCGCAGTGGCTTAGCAATGAGTGGCCGCGCTGGGGGTCGCGGGTACGAATCCCGCACAGAACAAGTATTTGTATGGCCTACAAACAATTGTTCAGAAAGAAAGAATTGTTAGTTCATTACTACGTCCGGTTTCTAATGTATGTTTTGTTATGTTATGTTATGTATATTGTAATAAATGTATTAAAATGGCCTGAAAATGTTTATTTGGATTTTAAAAATATATTTCATATTTTTGAATGTGTTTAAGTAACATTTAAGTTTGGATGCTTGGCGGTCCACCACAGTACGTTTCAAAAGGAGTTTTCTTCCCCGTACAACCTCTCTGTGGAATAGTTTACCAACGGCGATTTTTCCGGACCGATACGACCTGGGGACCTTCGCGAAAAGAGCTTACTCCTTTCTAAAGGGCCGGCAAGGCACCTGCAATTCCCCGGGTGTTGCAGTTGATCATGGGCGGCGGTAGTCACTTAACATCAGGTGAGCCGCATGCTCGTTGGCCCCCTCTTCTATAAATTAAAAAAAAATAAAATAATAGTTGCTTTATCTTATTACTTATATGCGTTGAACCGTTTTGGGCCGCGTGTTTTCTGAAATATATTTATACTGCAGATTTAATGTTTAAAAACTGTGAATATGGTTTTTATAATGTTTTTTTTTTATGATTTTATTTAATATTCAATAATGTTTATAATTTGATTGTAGATATTTAGATGTGCTGAGTGTTGTTCAGTTGTAAAAAATAAAAGCGTCATTGAGGGTTAACCTTAGAAATACTCCGAATTCAAAAAAATTCGTTTGAGTACTTTGTTGTTCTTCACATTAGCAAGTTAAGTATATTTCCACTGTGTCTTGCTTATATTTGCTTATTGTTTTTGGTCAAAATATGTGTGAAGATATTTGATCTTTTTGTTTGTCCTATATAAGAGAGACCACATTCACAATCAAGCTTGTACACTCCTGCATCTTGTAGAGGAATATGACACTTGACGGATGGTAGGAACTGACTAATCTTCTTCGGCGGCTTGTAGAATGTTCTAATAGAAACTCGCTTCAAGATATAGCCAATCTTGTCTGTGTTACCTCTGACATATAGTAGTACAGCAGGCACACGCTCGACTGTGGCCGGCTTCACTCGGTCACTGTGACGTAGGCGCGGGACCCGAAGCTTGTTGTCGTGCAGAACTTGCTTGACGTGCTGAAGCTCGGTGGCCAGGTGTTTGCTGTCACAGATCCCTCGTGCTCTCTGTAACAAAGATTACCCCACGGTAGCTAACTGTGAAGAATGGTGGTGAGATTCACCGTTTAAATATCGGTTTGTATGGGTCCTTTTCCTATACACAGTGTGACCAATGGTTTTATTAGGATTTCGGATGACTAACACATCTAACTCTATAGTAAATTTAATTTTAGAGTTTATGGAATTAAGATGTTCTAAAAATGCAGTTACTTTGCCTGATGGTAAAATTGTGAAAGTATCATCTACGTACCGCTTGTAGATCCTTGGTGTAACAGGTGCAGTAAGGAGGGCTTTCACCTCAAAGTCTTCCATGAATATATTGGCGACAATGGGAAATACAGGGGAGCCCATCGCAACACCATCTACTTGCTTGTAAAACTCTTCTTTCCACAATAGATATCCAGATGTAAGGCAATGTCTTAGTAATACTGCATATTCTGCTGGCATGTTATTTTCCTCTAGTTTCCTAAGAATTAAAAATAAAAGTAAATAAAAAGTAAAAATAAACGCGATAAAATCCGTAAAAGTAGTTTTAATCAAAACTATTTCAGGGTTGCATACTTGTTGAATGTCTACTTTAATTGGTAGTTACAAGCAAAACATAAATATAGAAAAATCTCTTTAATATATTGATGTACATCATCTATAGTACTTCCATTGTTCTTAATATATTGTTTGTAATAAGTTTTTTTTTCAGTTGAATGAAATTTGTATTGAAAACTAGTTTTTTCTTTTCCATTTCAAAGGATAAATTTCATTAAGAACGCTGATTAAAATGTAGCTCCAATTCTACCGAAAGATGAAAAATATAAAAAATATAGGGTAAAAATCCTCTCAGAGAATGATAATTTGAGTTATAGTTATATTTTACTTTATATTGGTAGTGTTAAAATGGCTAAAATTCTTGCGCCTTTAACTATTGCTTATTGTTAACCAACAATTAATTACTCGTAACTTATACGAAAATGAGCTATCAAGAATCAAATGCTGAAGACTGGCCTCCTCTGTAGTTTGCTTCGTAGGAAGGATATTTCGCTATAGTTACCACGCTTTGCAAGTGGGTTGGCAACAGCCGTTTTTATTTTTATTCGGCCGTTATCAGGACTCTCATGCCTCTTACAACTCCCATGGATGATATTAGGTTGTGTATATTCTTACATAGCTACTAAACGGTAATATTTACTAAAACATAAGAAAATTATATTCGTAGGGGTAGAGGTGCGCAAATACATAGGCCAACATATTATTACCTCGCATCACCTATACCTTCCATTTTTAAACTGTTAAAAGCCGTTGCTTGATGAATATTTTAACTGATTGGTAAATCGCCTGTATTTAACTTTTCACTTTTGCCTTATAAACAAAAGTTCCCCTTCTCCAATCTTTATTATTTTAACTTTCATTATTTCCCACAGTTTCATTGTTTACGGTGTTTCCAAGATAGTTAAGCTAATTTTATCTTTCGCTTAAGTTTTATCCTCATTTCAATACACATCTAAAACAAAATTTACTAAAAAAATCTTTTAAAATAATCCAAGTCTCAATAAAAGCTTTAACAGTCTCACCAAGAATAAAATTAAACGATACAAGAGAACATTAATATGCAAACAGCGAAGCAAGACATCACTTATATCCCGTACACTTAGCGGTACACTTGTCATTCCAATACCACCTTCGAGTATAAACAGGTGTTTTTTTTTGCGCCCCGAAACAATATAAATGGCTAGGCTGGCAATATAGGCTGGCAGGCTGGGAGGAATTCCATCCTAGTCCTCAAAAGTGACAACGCAATGGACTGCAGCAGCCACTTGGCATCAAGTGGTCTGTAAATTCGTTTGTCACCTCAGTTTTGTAATAAAAATAGTGGAATTATTCGTCGGAGGTATTTTTGATGAGCCGTGGTAGCTCAGATGGTTCCCCTACAGAACGCGAGTAACCCGGGTTCGATCCCCGCCAGCACCAATGAAATTGATAATTGCAATTTTAAGTGCTGATTTACCACGTGCTCGGCGTTGAAGGAAAACATCGTGAAAAAACCTGTATGTCTGAGGAATAAGATAAAAAATATTTCTAAGACATGTGAAGTTTGCCAACACGCATTGGGGCAGCGCGGCGGACACTTCCTTGCCCTAAAACCCTCTCAGAAATGAGGGGAGGCCTGTGCTCAGCAGTGGGACGTATATAGGCTGTAACATTACATTACATTTTTCAATCTTTTTTTTCTGCAATCTGTTTAACCACAGTCTTATAATACTTTGAGTAATTATTTAGAAAATGCTGCTGCAGATATAATGTGTCACTTCTGTCATTAGTCTCTTACGATAACAATGGAATGATATTAAGTAGATTTTTTACGCTTTCGCTGAATGGCGTTTGTTCCTAATTAATAAATAATATCACATTATAATAAAGAGTTCGACTCAGGTGGAAAAAAGTGTAGGTAACTATAAACGCGGACTTTACGTTTCTTTGAATTATTTTTATATTTTTTATTTCTTAGTGATGCAGAATTCCTTTTGATATATTTCAAAAAATGATCACATCAAATAAGAGTTAAAAATTTCGATTTTAAGTCAAACACTTTCATCGCCTCTATTACATTTATTGGAAGTGTAACGTTGCGAAATGAACATCTTAGAAATTCTAATCTACATAAGTAGACGTGCCGTAACGGGTGTAAATTTTGTTCGATTTACAATATCTTGCGTTACTTTACGATGTTTACAATCATCTCTAGTGGATTTACGTTACTCGTAAAATAAGGTGTGTCATGTTCTTGTAACCTAAAAGAATCCACTTTCTGACATTTTATTTTAACGCAGCGTGAATTTCGTATTCGTTCTCATAGTCAAATTCACTTATAGACATTACTACTGCGCCACACTGTATTTCTGAGAGCGATTAAATATATTTGACATTAGATTAACTATGTGTACGCACATTTTCAATCTCTTATAAACAGACATACAACCGATAGAACACCAAAGGCAATCTACCACTCGGTGATTTTGAAGTAAAGTAAACAAAACTGACTCTTTATTATTACTTTGGTTATTAGGAAGATGCTGCTGTCCACCTCCTGATTTAATTTTCCTTTGTCATCATTTATTACATGTTTTTAATTTTTTTTATAGTGTTGCTGTGACAAACGAGCACGTAGTCCACCTGATGGTTAGTGGAAGCTGTGACCGAAACAAATCTATATCTACCCTCCACTAAGAATTAAAGATATAGAGTAATGAATTCTATTACGCCGCCACTACACGGCAATAAAGTATAAGATTCTTGTATTATTTCTAC